AAAATACTGCAGCCATTTTGGAAAACAGTGTGGCAATTCCTTAAAGAGTTAAACATAGAGTTATATTATGACTTAGCAATTCCATCCATAAGTTTATGCCCAAGAGAAATGAAAACATACATTCATGCAAAAACTTGTAAATGAGTGTATATATAGCAATAGTCATAATAGTCAAAAGGCAGAAACAATCCAAATGTCCACCAACTGATGAATGGATAAACAAAATGTAGTATCTCTACATCCTACAACATGGATGACCCTTGAGAGCAATCTGCTGAGGGCAAGAAGCCAGCCACAAAAGACCACATAGTCTATGATTCCATTTACATGAAATACCCAGAACAGGGAAGTCTACAGAGACAGAAAGCAGGTTTGCTCGCTTCGGCAGCACAGTGGAACAATACAGAGGAGATTAGCATGGCCCCGGCACAAGGATGATATGCAAATTTGTGAAGCGTTCCATATTTTTGGGAGTTAGAGATTTGCAGATATGAGCTGATGTATGTATTGAATAGATAAACAACAAGTTCATGCTGTATAGTGCAGAGAACTATATTCAATATCTTGTAGTAACTTATGGTGAAAAAGAATATGAAAACGATATATGTATGTTAATAAATGACTGAAGCATTATGTTGTACACCAGAAATTGACACAACATTGTAAACTGACTATACTTCAATTAAATATATATGTATATGTGTATGTGTGTGTATATATATATATGTATACCTACATACATACACATACACAAAAGTCAAAAAAAAAAAAAAAAAAGAAAGATTTGCAGTTGCCTGGGGCTGGATGGAGAGATGGGAGGATTGGGATGTAACATTTAAGGGATACAGGTTTATTTGGGGGATGATAAATATGTTCTAAAATTGTTTGTGGTGATGATTGCACAATTCTGTGGACATAGGAAAAACTGTTGAATTGTTTACAAACAGAAAACAAAAAAAAATCAAACGCCAGTGCTATGTTTGAGGAAGATCACTCTGATGGGAGCGGAGAGAGACAGAAAGCACAGACCGATTATGAGGTTATTACCTCTAATCTAGAAGTTTAGAGACAAGATTTCTCAGGCCTTTTCTTCCTTCACTCTCTAGGCCCATTCCCTTCAAACGCACTTAGAACACACTGAGTTATCAAATCTACACTTGATAAATTCACAAATGCACTAGAGGATGGGACTCCGGAAGAGGAGATCATAAAGGGAGCTCCCAACTCTCTCGTGATCAATTTTACTATTTAAGTGACCAAGGGAAAAGACCCATTTCTCAATTGTTTACTTAAAGATCAAGAATTTAAACTTAGATTCTAGGCCAGAGGTATTTAGCTGACGTAGAGTGTCCTGCTAAGTAGGGAATGAGTTTCTGCTTTGTTCCTGGCACATAGTAGCTCTCAATTATATTTTTTTAATAAATCATATGAATGAATTTTAAGAATAAAAATAGATTTTATGATGTGTTATATAAACATGGCCACGAAAGACACTGTGAGATGAGAAAATAATGCATAATCTTAAACTGGTGATGGAGAAAAAATTAAGAATGGAGAGAAAAGAACAGGCAATTATTTAACAAGACAGCAAACCTCTAAAATATGTCATGACTCAGAGATATAGAAAACAAACATGTTTATCAGGGGCGAAGGGAGTGGGAAGGGATAAATTGGGAGTTCAAGATTTTCAGATGCTAACTACTAAATGTAAAAAAGATAAACAGCAAGTTTATACTATATAGCACAGGGAGCCATATTCAAAATCTTTTAGTAACCTGAAAAAGAATATGAAAAGAAATATATGTATGTATATGTATGACTGAAACATTATGCTGTACACCAGAAATTAATATAACATTATGAACTGACTACACTTCAATAAAAGAAAAAAAGTCACTTTATTTTCAGCAAAAAAATATATTTTACAAAATAATTATATATATATATATATACACACACACATACGTACATACACATATATGTCATGAGTTTCTTCTGTCCCTCCCAGGGGAAAAAAATTAGAAAGAAAAAATAATAAATCATAAAGTTATATAAAAGAGTAAGAAAGCACAGGGAACTATATTCAATTTCTTGTAATAACATACAGTGGAAAAGAATCTGAGAGAAAACTATACGTATGTATATGTATAACTGAATTTCTTTGCTATACACCTGAAACTAACATTGTAAATCAACTGCACTTCAATAAAAAAAAATTTTTTTAAAAACTGAAAGAGCTGGAAGGAAAAATAGACCAGATAATAATAATAATAATAAAGTACTAAAAA